GGAGAGCTCAGTGGTCAGTCTCAGTTGTCCTCACCCCACTGTCCGAGAGTGGCTCACCTCTATGGAAGCCCCGGCCAGGTCCTGCAGTGTCGGCCACTTCTACAGTCCCCAGGCAGGCAAAGAGATGAAGGTCAAGGGTAGGGAGGTGGTGGTGGCCTTCTCAAGCCCACCCCTAGAGGCCAGACTCTCACCTAAGATGTGGCCCTCTCCCCTCCCTGGCAGCCTCGCCCTCCCCTGGGTTCACCTGCATCCATCGGGAGTAGTAAGCAATCACCGTGGCCACCTGGGTCTGCTGCAGCATGACCTCTGAGACCCACACTGGGGGAGAGGGGTTCACATGAGGGCACTGCTACCTCCCTGCTCCTATCCCTCTGCCCTCTGCCCCACGGGCCCCAGGGAGGTGGCCTCGCTCTGGGGAATACTCACCAGCATAGGCTCTCCTGTCCCCGTCCACCTCGCTCTCTGCCTACCATGGAAGCCCAGGTGGGGAGTCAGCATGGAGTAGCGTGGTTCCGGGCCCCGGCCCCACCAGCCCTGTCCTTCCCCTGCCTACCAGCCTCCTCCAGGGTAGATCCCGCTTCTCTCGGTCATACCAGCGCAGCAGGCCCTCCCGGAAGGCTTTCACCTCAGCAGTGTCTTTGAACAGGTGGTACGGAGAGACAGAGGCCTGCAACACCACCTTCTCCTGCTGCCTGGCCAGACCTGGAGGTGTCCGAGACTCCTTGCTGCTGATGGGCACCAGGCCCCAGGACACAGCTTCCTGGGCACCTCTCATCCCCACCACCACCCCTTTAAGCTTTGGAAATGGGGCCCAACTACATTTGTGAATTGTCTCAGGATGGTAATGTTGGCCCTTCTGCCTTGGGGTCATAATGAAAACCCATCGGTTTCAGCCAAGCAGCTGGCACCTGTTTGCACAACAATTTCAGGCTCGGGATAAACTCGTTTAATCTCCATGAAAGCCCTGTACAAACTACGGTCCTGTTTTACAAGCAGACACTCAGTAAAATTAGCCCAGTGTCATACACAGCATAGTTAGACCTGTCCCCCAAGTGTATGGACGCCTTGATGCCATGCTCCTTTGCCAGCCTGACTCTGCCTTTCCTGGCCAATGAGAACAGCCCTCTGAGCCATGCCCCAGCCTGGGCTCCTCACCATCAGGGGCAGAAAGCTTGGCCTGGCTGTTGCTGGGGCCACACTGCTCCCCTCGATCTTGGCTAGATGCTTTCTTCCTGTGACTTCTCCCGGCTGCTCGTGGCTTCTTCATGGTGGCCTAGAATACATGGGGCCAGCCAAACGCATGTCACAGGGGGACTGAATCTGGAGGTCCTGCCGAGGGCACAGCCATCTCCCTCCCTACACCCACCCCGTAGAGAATCTCACTTTTTACAAGCACCCTCAAGATGTGTCGGGCCTGCTCTTGGCTAGCTGTGGCACTGAAAGATGACCAGAACGGCTGAGCTTCTACAACCAGCTGCCAAGGGACCAGTGAGTACAGCCATGAAGCAGTTGAGAGAGGACATTTCAAAGCCTGCCCTCCTGTAAGGCGTACCTGTGTATCCCTGGTGCTCGCTGTGACTGTATGTGGACAGGGGTCATTTAGAGGTATCTGGGAGCATGGAGTAGGGGGCATGGGAGGTTTATCTGTTTAGAGCTGTAGCATGTTGATGCTGACTGGGCCTTTGGTGGTCATCTAGTCCATGGAACAATGATTAAACGCTCAGCTGCTAAGGGAAAGAAAGGTTGGCAGATCAAACCCACTCAGAGGATCCTAGGAGAAAGACCAGGAGATGCGCATCCATAGAGATTACAGTCTAGGACACTCTATGGGACAGTCCTCAATCACGTGGAGTCTCTGGGCAAAACCAACTCAACAGCATCTAACATAACAGTCCAAAGCCTTCGTTTTATGGACAGGAGAAACCAAAGAATCAGAGAGGGAGAAGATTTATCTAAAAGCAAGTGATAAATCAGTGGGGAGTAGAGATGCGCTATTTTTACTCCTAATCTGATCTAGTACACCACTGCAGCCAGACCACTAGTGCTGAGGAAGCCCTTCAGGCTGATCTGAACATCGTCTCACTGTTCACCTGCCTGCGTTAACTCCAAAAATGAAAAACAGGTAATACTTAGTGGTTCCTATGTGCCAGGTCCCAAGTTAGGTTTTTTACTCCCCTCCCTCAACTAGCTCCTGACAACCAGATGAAGGTAGGGACGGGGTATTATTACCTTCCTTTTAGAGATGAGGAGATAGAGGCTTATGGAGAAATGAAGTTATTTGTCCATTCAAACCCAGTCTGCCTCCAGAGCTACATTCTTCCATAAGCAGTTCCTGCAACACCTGTTTCGAGCCTTCTCCTCAAATCTACTGTCCCCTAACTGTCATCAAAATAACATGCTTACCCTTTTCAGAGAAAAATATGCACACACAAACTTGGCTCCCTTTGCACTGTCTGCCTTCCTTCCTGTATTCCAAGGAGGAAAAATGCCTCCTCTTAAACTATCCTGGCTTAAGATCCTGCTCCTTCAAAACCTTCTGGCCTTCAAGACCCACTGTTTTCCTTTGCCAAACGTGCTTGTTTCCACCGTTCATTCGCCCATTCATCTCCAAAGAGTAAAGTAACCTTTTCAAGATCACGTAAAAAAAAAACACCCCAAGATATGAAAATAATAATAATTTATCAAGGAGTCATGAGGATGGGAGGCGAAGGGAGGGAACAAAAAGGAGCTGAGACCAAGGGCTCAAGTAGACAGTGATTGAAAAGGATGATGGCAACATATGTACAAATGTGCTTCATACAATTTTTTTTGTTTTGTTTTTAGGGGCTGTGCTTCATACTATTGATGTATGTTATAAGAGCTGTAAGAGGCCCCAATAAAATGATTTATTAAAAAAAAAAAGCCATTGCCATTGAATTGATTCTGACTCAAAGTGACCCTATAGGGCAGAGTAGGGCCACTCTGCTCCATACGGTTTCCAAGGTTATAAATCCTTATGGAAGCAAAGCTGCCTCGTCTTTTTCCCACAGAATGGCTCGTGGGTTAGACCTATTAACCTTGGGTTTAGCAGCCCAGCTCATAATGTTAAGGGGTGACAAATACTAACATAAAGAGGATAAGTAGAATGGGGCCGGGCCCAAGCCAAGCTATGTTGACCCCCTCCCCAGAAGAATGTAATACAGAAGACAGCACTGAAGAGCTAGCCCGGGGAGTGGCGAGTCTGTCCAGACCACATGGGTGCGAACTAAGAGGGAGAGAGAGACAAGAGCATCGGACACATGGAATTCAGGACAGATAAAACCCTCAGGACCAGTAGTGGGAATAGCAGTCTCATCAGGGTAGGGGGTTGGCGGGGGTGAGGAGAACCCATCACAATGTGGGCTATAAACCCCACCCCCCAGGGGGACCAATAACAGAAATGCAGGTGAAGGGTGACAATGGACAGTGTAAGGCAGGAAATAACAAAATGATTGATCAAGGATTCATGAGGGTGGAAGGGGCGGGAGGAAGAGCTGATACCAAGGGCTCAAGTAGAAAGAAAATGTTTTGGGAATGTTGAGGGCAACATATATACAAATGTGCTTAATAGAATGATGGAGTGTCATAAGTTTTATGAGCCCCCAACAAAATGATTAATATTAAAAAAAAAGATAAGTAGAGCAAGTGAAAGAAAGGGTAATGGGGTACAATTGTGAAAACCATGGTCAGGCTGGACTTAATGAAGTAATATTTGACCCAAGTCTTAAGAGTTCAGAGACTTGGTTTTGTAATATCGGGACACAGTAAGCAGCAGCTGATTGCAAAGGCCATACGGAGGGTGCCTGGAGTGTTTGTGGAACAATAAGTTCAGTGTAGTTAGAGTGGTATGAGAAGGGGATGACTGATAAGCAGGAGGTAGGAGATAAGTCAGAGAGGTAACGGGGTGGGAGTGGCCAGACCACAAAGAACCTTATGGGCCATTGAGAAATGAGGACTTTGGTCATTACACCCATTGCCCTTATTTAAGATTCCAGCTTAATATGCCCTTATAGGCTCAACAATCTGGCCTTGGCCTCACCCACTCACTATACTTGTGCCAAATTGACCTGGATTTAGTTATTTCCATCCTGGGAATAGCTACTTATCCAGAGTCTTCCACCTAACACATTTCTTCTGCTATGCGTTGCCTAACATCTACTCATTCATCAAACCTTGGCTTTCAAGTCCAAACCAGACCCCTGTCTTAGCTTCTACATTTCTGCAATAGCTTTAAAGCAGTCGTTATTATTCCCCTGGTGGTATAGTGGTTCCACATTCGGCTGCTAACCAAAAGGTCAGCAGTCTGAAACTACCAGCCACTCCAAAGGAGAAAGATGAGGTTTCCAGTCCCATAAAGAGTTAGTTAGGGAAACCCACAGGGGCAGTTCTACCCTGTCTGGGAGGGTCACCATGAGTCGCCATCAACACAAAGGCCGTGAGTTTGGTTTCATTAAACCAGTGTCCTGACTGTGATGCCTCAGATGCCACTTGGCCTTGTGTAAACGGCCTCCTTTAGCCAGATGTGCCTTTGTCTTTCTCCTGGTTCTAACTGTATTTGAGACTGAGCTCACTTTTACACCCTAAAACAGTACATAGTAACCATTTGCACCCCCGGGGACTCCAAAGCCCTTGTAACAGTAGTGTCTAATTCACCCACTTGACAGTAAAACACGAAGAAATGGCTAGGTCTCTTTTACTTATATTATAGCTGTATCTACAAGACTGCACAAAGTCAGATAAATACTTGTTAAATAAATTAACGGGATGGGGGATAGTCACCGTATTTTTTTTTTTTTTAGGATGGGGGAGATCTGAGTAATCCAGAATACGGATGAAAAGGCCTCACTACAGGGAGAGGGGTGGAAGGTACACTAGGAAGAAAGGGCTGGTTGTCCTCTGTGAGCCCGGGTGATGGGAACTAGAGTCCTTGGGAGGGCTCCGAGCTCTCGGATGCGTCTCCTCTCTCAGGTTGGAGGAGTTAAGTCCATCGCCCTCAAGGTCCCCTGTACTTCCTATTGCTCTGCATTGAGCTTCAGCAATGAGCGCCAACATCGGAATGACTGTGAAGATGGTGCCGGACGGACGGGGAGCGTTTGGTCCTGCTATACACAAGCGACTGCACGAATCGGAATAGATTCCGCGGCACCAAACCAGTTGCTTTAAAATCTGTCCTTCCCTCACCATCTTTACAGCCAGAATCACAATCCAAGTCGCCACCATAACTTGCCTAACTTAGAGCAAAAGCTTCCCAGCTAACTAGTCTCCTCTTCCCTCTCCAGCTTGCCCATCGGTCCCCTTCCCTGCCTTTCACTTCCCAGACCGCACAGCGCTCTCCATCCTAAGAACTTCCCAAGCTCGGAGCGACCTTCTTTCCCCATAACGCTTTGGTGTTTAACTGCTAGGCGTGCGGCTTAGCCTCTGTAACGCCACTTCCTCGGGGAAGCCTTCCTTTATTACCCTGCCCCGGCCGCCCCCACCCGAAGGCCGCTTCCCGAGGACGTCCACCAGGAGCCCAGGGCTGCCCTTACCTCCCGCGCGGCTGCTCGGACGCACTCCAGGGGGCGGGGCTCCGGCCAATCCGGGCCGCCGGCCGGCGGCACCAGCCAATACGCTCGCAGCGCGCGCCGGGCCCACCCCCGCTCGGCGCCAGACCCGGGAAGTCGGAACCGAAGTCCAACCCGAGGGCAACCCTGAGGGTGAGACCCCACCCCCACCCCCAGCCCCGACTCGAGGGTCGCGCCGGGAAACCAAGCGGAAGTCCCACGCTTCCACACGCAACAGGCGAGGAGCGCGTGGTGTGTCATGGCCGCTGACGACGACGATGGCGTAACCTCAGCGATAGCAGCATCCGACGGTGAGTGACTCCGGGACAGGTCGCCCTAAAAGCCTACGAGCTCCGGGGAAGGGGAAGGCCTGGGAAGCACAGCTCCGCAAACCTTGCTCGGGCTTCAGAGGACAAAAGAGTTTTCAATCCGACCCTGGCACGGAGAGACCACAAGTCCCAGTGTGCATCGCGACCTGGGCTGCAAAAAGCCTGGGGTGCTGGGAGTATCATCAGGGCAAGTTAGGGCATGTCGGGAGATGAGGTCTGAGCTGATAGTTGTGGAGCAGGCTGGGAGTTGTGGTCCAAGGAAATACGACGACGTATTGAGACCTGATCGTGAGCAATACTTATCAAGCTCTGGAGCTCCCTGGGGGCTGTGGCTTCCTTTGAGGCGCCTTTTGAGTTATTAAGAGCACTAAAATCCTCAATCCCAGCCAAGTATTACCTGTAGGGCTTGAAAGGAATCTCAAAAATCATAGTCTAGCGCCCACACTCCGCACCCCCCTGCTTTTTACAGGTCGCGATATTTAGGGCAACAGAATTATCCCAAAGTCTCAGATAAACCACTGGAAGACTTGGGCTTCCGGTCTTCAAATTCGGACGTTGTCTGGTCCAAGGCTTGTGCATAGAGCGTGAGGAGCACAAGTGCTTGAAGGGAAAGCTACCATATTTTGCCCTAGTAGAAACTGCTCCCCAGGCTTCAGCCCTGGCCCAGTGTGGGATATTTGCTCCCCTGGATCTTAGCTTGAACATTAACATCCATCCTATTGCCTACCTCCAGGTGGTATCAGCAAATGCACCAAGTCTGAGGAGCTGGTAATACAGGTTCCTGTGGTGGACGTGCAAAGTGACAACTTCAAGGAGATATGGCCATCGCTCCTGCTGGCCATCAAGACAGCTAGCTTCGTGGCTGTAGATACGGTGAGGGTCAGGAAACAGGGAGGGCAGGTCATAGTGGAGAGGCTGGGCCTGACACAACTCTTTTACCCACTCATAGGAATTGAGTGGGCTTGGGGACAGGAAGAGTTTGCTGAACCAGTAAGTATAAGTCATGTTCTTAGTCCCAGCCCTGGCAGGAGGGGCAGACCTTAATCTTTAAACCCAATCCCAAGGTGCATCGAGGAACGTTACAAAGCCGTGTGTCAAGCTGCCAGGACCCGTTCTATCCTCTCCCTGGGCCTCGCCTGCTTCAAGCAGCAGCCAGTTACGGTATGGGCTGATTTACCCCAACCCAGGCCTATGGCTGCGGGAGGAAGGCTTCTTAGATTCTAGGGAGCATCAGGTGGGAGGTTTTCTCCCAAGTCTTGATACAGCAGCGCTGCTGCTTCTTCCAGGGTGAACACTTGCACCTGGCCCAGGTGTTCAATCTGACTCTATTGTGCATGGAGGAATACATCATAGAACCAAAGTCTGTGCAATTCCTGGTACAGCATGGCTTCAACTTCAACCGGCAGTATGCCCAGGGCATCCCCTACCATAAGGGCAATGACAAGGTAGGCCTCCAGACTAACTCCAAGAGTGGAAATTATTGGGTTAGGTGGGGAGGGGAACACTTTCCAGGTGGAGGAAACTGGGTCATTTGTACTGAAGAGGCTCCTTAGGGGAATCTGTTCTTCCCCATGACTTCTTTCCTTCCACCTAGGGTGATGAAAGCCAGAGCCAGTCCGTGCGGACACTGTTCCTGGAGTTAATCCGGGCCCAGCGGCCCTTAGTGCTGCACAATGGCCTCATAGACTTGGTGTTTCTATACCAGAACTTCTACGCACAGTTGCCTGAGAGCCTAGGGACCTTCACTGCTGACCTGTGTGAGATGTTCCCAGCTGGCATTTATGACACCAAATATGCTGTTGAGTTTCACGCCCGCTTTGTGGCCTCCTACTTAGAATACGCCTTCCGGAAATGGTGAGTGGATGGTGGAGGGAAAGGGGTGGGGTTTGGTAGGACGTTTGTTCCATTCACTCAAGATATGTGTTGACTGCCTACCACACGCCAGGCAGTTCTAGGTGCTGAGGAGTCAGTAGGAAACAAAGCAGAAACAAAGCCCTAATCTCATGGAACATGTATGCTGGAGGGCCAATACCTTCTTGTGCTATTGCAGTGAGCGGGAAAACGAGAAGCAGCGGGCAGCGGGCAGCCCACACCTCACTCTGGAGTTCTGCAGCTACCCTTCCAGCATGAGGGCCCATATTGACTTCCGCTGCTGCACATCTCCTGCAGCCCCCCGTCCCCACCCCACCAGTATCTGTGACAGCTTCTCGGTGAGCGCGCCCGCCTGTTTCCTGGGGGGGACGGGATTTGATGCCTGGAACCATCTTCCTAAGGCTCTTTTTTGCCTTTAGGCCTATGGCTGGTGCTCCCTGGGACCACGGTGCCCTCGGTCCCATAATATTGACCTCATCATTGACAGTGATGAGGCTGTGGCAGAAGATAAGCGGCGACGGCGGCGACGGCGGCGAGAAAAACGGCGGAGGGCTTTGTTAGGCTTGCCTGGCTTGCAGACCTCTGGGAAAGCTGAGGATGGCCCTCCCTTGAAGCAAGTCTGTGGGGATGGCCTCAAGGCTGAGGACACTGAGGAGGAGGTGGCCGGGAATGAGGTTACAGCGCAGACTGGCTGTGAGCAAGATCACAACAATGACCTGGAGTTGGCACTCAAGGCCGCAAGGCCCGGAAGCACTGCCGTGGCCGCTCCTGAAGAACCAGGCAGTCAAGCCAGTCCTCACCCAGGGTCTGGGGATGGACTGCACCGGGCTGGCTTCGATGCCTTTATGACAGGCTATGTGATGGCTTATGTGAGAGTGAGCCAAGGACCCCAACCCTGCAGCTCTGGACCTTGGCTACCTGAATGCCACAACAAGGTCTACCTGAGCGGCAAAACTGTGCCCCTCACAGTGGCCAAGAGCCAGTTCTCCCGCTCCTCCAAAGCCCACAGCCAGAAGATGAAGCTGGCTTGGGGCAGCAGCTGACGAAGCTTCTGCCTAGTACTTGGGCCCTAGGAAGAGGAGCTAAGGATAGAATAGAGGGCTTTGGGGCCCTCTAGCCCTGTGACTGTTGTACTCCCAGCTACAGAGTTAGGGGGAATTGCGACCTTGGCAGAGACACTGCATTGCCCTTGGATGTCTCCTTTACCCTAGAAGCTGAAGGTAGAGGGTACAAGGAAGGAGGCTGACCAGTACCTGTAACACCATCTTTATTTATTTTTAAATCTGAACGTGTCTTGAGAAAATTTTTTTAAAAAAGAAATCAACAGAAACAAGTTATGAAAATATTTGACCAGCTTCATCTTTGGTTATTTCTTATTGTGCCTCTGTAAGGACAGACTATTCCCATAGCTCCGGAAGGGAAGAAATTCAGTCCATGTATAAACCATTTAACCATTCAGTATAGCACATGTTGACAAATATATAAAGCAGGCCCTAGGGCCTACAGAACCAGCCCACTCCCAACCACAAGGTTGAAAGTCCTAAGGGCAAAACATTAAGACTCCTTCATAAATAGGAAAATAGATTAATCAATTGGAAAAGGTTTTTGAATAGGTTAGCTAAGAGCCATGACCACTACATGTTGCTTTGCCCTCCCCTTGCATAGATATGTAGTGATGTGGTCTGACTGTGCAGTTAAGTGCAAACAGCAATTATTCAAGTGTCTTAGACATACTGGCAAGAAGCACCCCAGTCTTCAGATCTGAGAAACCAGCCGTGACTTTTATGGCTTCCTGGTCAGCTCCAGGTTCCATCCGGTAGCTTATATGCCCCAGGAAAGGGCAAAAGACAGACCTGGTGTGTGAGAAAGAACCTGGGGTAGTAGCTGCCTGCCAGCTTAACCTAGAACTAGGAGTTCTCTGGTCCTGTCTGGGGAAATGTATTGGGGGAATCATTTGGGAGCTAGAGCTCCTGGCTGGATTTCAGAAGCTTGGTATCAGCTGTTGGCCCTAGCTAGTAAGGCCTCTCACTGCTACCTTTCCTCTCATACATAGCCATTAGGCATTGAGAGCCCCAATGTTAAGCTTGGCCCAGGCTAGCTTGCCTGCACTATGAGCTCCACGGAAGGATCAAGGCTGTGCACCAAGGGGGCCTATGGCTTCAGCTGAAGGTTCAACCCCAAGGTGAGCAGGGGGTTAAACCCCCTCACCCATCCTCTTCTTCTTGGGCCTGCCAGCCTCTGCCTGAGGTGGAGAAGGGAGTTGGGGCCAAACTTCTTGGTGTTTCTTCCTCAACTTCCATCTCCTCTAAGGCAACTGCAGGTCCTGGACTTGTCACTTGGGTCCTGGGCCCAAAACCATTTTCTTCTTGGAGACTCGAGCAGTCCATGGCCTCATGAGCTGAAGCAACTGGTGGGGCAGATGCCTGGAATGGTGGGATCTCTCTTACTCGGTACTTGAGACTACTGAGTCGTGGTGGAGGTCCATCAGAGAGTGACTCCTCTCGGCCCATGAATGGACAGGCCTCTTGGTGCAAGAACTCAGGTGAACCAGGCAAAGATCGCCACTGGCGAGCAGGTGGGGCCAGGGGCTCCTGCCAATCAGCCATCGACACAGTTCCAGGCCCTGGTGCGTCTAGGTCAAATACCAGGGAGATGACAGACTTGCTAGGCAGGTCAAAGAACTTGATCTTGCCACCTTTGAGGTCCTGGCGAGCACTGAAAGGGTTGACCTTGGGGGTGCGCGCAGCAGCACCTCGTTGTGGCCGATAATAGGGGTCTAAGACACTCACTGTACGTGGAGGTTTACGGGAAAAGATGTCTGACTGGCTTCGAGACAGCCAGATAGTACGTCTCGGGCGTGGAGACTTGGGGGGAATCTTGTCATCCAGTGAGCTCAGTCGCTTCATCCCAATTCCTTTCTCTATGAGTCCTGAAGAATAGACAAGTCAGGGTTACTTTCCCCAGTCACCACCCATAGAAAGGGCCCTTTGTACTACAAAGTGGTGATACTCCTGCTGTTCCCGAGTCACCAGTGAGGAAGCAGACTTAGAAAGGGGAAGCACTGACAGGCCATACATCTTAGAAAGTTCCATGTGCTTTTTGACATCATCTCCAGTCCCTCTCTCTTGTCCCTGGACTTGGGACCCTGTAATAGTCACAGCCCTAGAGGGTAAGTCCCCACATTCTGACCCTCCCCCTCCCCCAAGGATCAGGCACTTACCCTTGGCTGGGGGCTGCACCTTCCTGTCCTGCTCTAGCTCCTCCTCTTGCAGGCGGCTCAGAATTTCCTCCAGGGCCCTTCCAATCTCCACAAATGATGGTCGCAGTTTGGGGTCCATCTGTAGGCATCCACAGGAACCATTAGCTCTGTCCTCCTAACTCCCACCCCACAGATGGCATTCGAGTTTGTTTCTGGCATCTTAAAAGGGAATTCACATGTGCGGGTAAGAGATCTTTTCTGAAGACCCTAGGCCCTGAGGGTGCCGGGGCTAAGGTCAGGGAAGATATGATTTGTCTACTGTCCTTCCCTCTTTTCAGCCCCCTTTCAGTGTGCCTTATCCCATTTGGTGCAGGACCCTTCAAAAGTATGTGCTCCCACTGGCTTACTCTGTTCCTGAAGCTCTACTCCAGGGGTCCTCAAACTTTTTTAATGGGGGCAGTTCACTATCCCTCAGGCCCGTTGGAGGGCCGGACTATAGTTTTAAAAAAACTATGAACAAATTCCTATGCACACTGCACATATCTTATTTTGAAGTGAAAAAACAAAACGGGGCAAAAACACCTGGCAGGCTGGATAAATGTCCTCGGCGGGCCGCATGTGGCCTGCAGGCCGTAGTTTGAGGACGCCGGCTCTACTTACTATGCATGGGTTTGGATTATGGCCGGCCCATCCCCATGAGCCTAGCATAGTGTCCCATGCCAGAGCAAACAGTAGCCCCAAACCATTGTCTGGCCTTGCCCATGGGCTGCGAGGACTAAAGTGGGTTACAATGTTGGAGGTGGGTGTTCCTACTCACATGGCTCTGGAAGTTACCTAATCAAAGCCTACCTTCGCATTGATATAAAAAGTAGGTCCAGCACCAAAGTTATATAAAATGAATGCTACAAAGCTTTTTCCACAAATCCTCAGGACCAAGCTGGATCCATAGACAATAAAACTTGACCAGAGCCCCCTCAACACCTAGGGCAAGGTGAGTCTAGCCTGCAAGCTAAGGTCTGGATAATACAGACCTTTCCTCAGTACCAGGCTCTGGAGCCCAAGTCCAGATCGAGAGCTGAAGGGTGGACAGAACACTGTCACCGAGGAAGAATGCCACGAGGTTCCCATCCAGTGCGAAAGGCCCCCTATGAGGCTAATCAGGCCAACCAAGTGAAAAGGTTCAGCCAGCCCCATGGGAAGAAGACTCACATTACAGCAGTTGAAGGTGAGCTGCAGGAAATCCGGGGGACAGTCTCCCACCATGTGCTGGAAAGCGTCATAGTCCAGCCCAAAGTTCTGTGGATGGGGTGCAGGGGCATGAGAGGGTATTGGGGGGTATAAGTGGGTGTAGATCCTTAATTGCCCTCTCCCCATCCCAAGAAAAAGCTGGGAGCTGCTGTTGAGATGCAGCTTAAGTTCCACCAAACTTCCACAGTGTCCAAACCAATCGTATCCCAGTGGCTCCTCATCCCTGCAGCTCACCTCTGTGCGGGGAAGATAGTCTGGATCAGCCTGGATGCGGGCGATGATCTCACAAAGGATGATGCCATACGAGAACACGTCCGCCTGGTGGGGAGTCAAGACTTTGGTTTTCTTTTTCAATGAGGGTGAGTGGGTATCTGCCTCCCAGGTCTACGAGCCCAGGTCTGGCCCCATTGCCCGTATTTTATTCGTTTTACTCAATGGGCAGCTGCCAGGTACCAGCCCCACCCCCAACAAGAAAGATGTGGCTCCTCACTCTGAACACAGATAATCCCGGATGCTTACTGGTTCTGAAGCGACCAGGCTCACCTTCTCATTGTAGGGCTCATCTCGAAGAACCTCAGGTGCCATCCAGAAAGGGGAGCCCACCACGGCTAGCTTCTCACTCCCCATGCTGTGAGGGGAGATTAAGTGGAAATGAGCTTGCTACTACCTGGCCCAACGGGATCGCTGACCTTTGGGCTTTCCTCCTCCCAGGGGTGAAGCACAGGCTAGGAGTGACCAAACTTAGGGAGCGGAGGTTGAACTGTAACCAAGCCCCACCTATTGGAAAGGAAGGTGAAGCTTTTCCTCAGTCTCAGCTCCCCTCGATGCCCCAGCACCCATTAGGGCTACCCACCTGACATCAGGGATCTTCTCCGCCAGGCCAAAGTCAGCCACCACTGCAGAGTAACTGTTCTCATCCTTCTTTATCAGGCAATTCTAAAGTTTCCAAAGAGGAGGAGGAAAATGTAGCTAAGAAGTGGGAACTAGCCAGCCATAGAGTTGCCACCACCTCTTTGTGCCTCACCACCCACTTCCGCTCTTTGATGAACCACAATCAGACTGTCTGAATGATCTGACCTGGGGGCTCTGAGCTAGCCATGTGACATGAGTTAGTCCAGAATGTTGCGTGGCTGCCCTGGGATTTACTACATGCTCCAAATACAAATATCTATCTTTGCTGTCGATATGCTAGGTCTGATTTAAAATGCTAACAATACCTCAATGAACAAAAGAGAAAGTTTTCCTAGTCCTCTTGGAGCTTAACATATAGTGGAGGAAGGCAGACTATCAGGCCTCTGGCCTGCCTTCCTCCTTCAGACTGCAGAGATCTAAAGTCCAGGCCTGCCCTGTGTCCACGCCTACACATTCACACCTGCCCACAGAATTACAACTGGTCTCCGTGGTCTGGCTTTATCCAATAGGCCTTTCCACCCATCCCTGGAACTCCCATCCCCGCGTCCACGGTCAGTTTGACTTGACAAGCATAACTAGGTCCTTCAAATCTTTGCCTGTTTATATTGTTCCTTCCCATTTGGAACGCTCTCCTAATTCTTTCACCTAAAAAAAAAAAATGTCTTTCCAAGGTGATTTGTCCAGCTCTCACCCTCATTTCTTTCTCTTTTCTGAACCCCTTTAGCTCTGACTCTGTGCCACCTCCTCTTACAGTCTACCAGAGAAGCTCTGAGCACCTCCGAGCAGGTTCTGTTTTGGGGCCTGCCTTTCTCACAATTCGTGGGAGAGGCTCAGGACATGTCCACTAAGCAAATGCTGCTGACTCCAGAGAAAGAATGAACCCAAACAACCTTTAAATAAACACAAAACAGCAACCAGCTCTCTCCAAATAACTGCAGTCAAAATAACTCTACTCGGCTGGCTCAGAGGCAGTCCATCCCACCCCTTCCTCCAAAGACAGCGCCGGGAGCAGGGATCCTTGGCTCACAGGTACATTTCTGGAGCCAGTGAGGCCCTATCTGACCTAACTGCCCTCCCTCCTCACCAGCCTTGGCATCTGTTCTCAAATCACTGCCAAGTTACCGCCTACTTATACCCCATCGGGTACAAATCAATCCATTACTCTGGCCTTGATTTGATATCTGCTCACACTACTCTCGTCCTCCCCCATGTGGACGGAGTCTGAGGTTACATCACATCGTTTCCTACTCCAGATCCTATGCCATCTCTGGCCTCCAAGCAGGACAGTCCTGTGTTTGTCCTGGGTGACTCTACTTAGGACAAGATGGAGCCAAGGCCAGCCAGCCTACGACAACCAAAGCCTGAGCTATAGGGTGCTGACCTATTGAGCAGTGGCAGCTCAGACGTCACCCATTTCACTCCTTTCCCCGATAGCTTCTGTCTCCAAAGTCCTATTTGCTTTATAGCTTTCAGAAGCACCCTGTGAAAGAAAGCTTGGGAATAGCAGGTAAGGAACAGAACATAGCCACAATGCACTGCCCTTGATAAAGCGCTTCCGTTTCTGCTCCATCTTTGCCTTCATGGAGGCCTACTCTTCAATTCCTGCAAACCACCCTCACCCTCTGGATGATCAGCTGAGAAATGGCTCAGGCAGCGATGAGTGTGTGAAGCAAAGCTTTAAGGTCCACTCTGCCTCTGGTCTGGAGACTCCACTGCCCTCTCCTGGTTCCTGAAAACATTTTCCTCAGAAGTTATGAGAAAAATGAAGAGAAAAGATGACCAGGAATAGCTCTTATTTCCCAGCAAGCTTCCGGAGCTTGTTGGAAAGGTCTTGGTCTGGAGAAGTTTTTCGGGCAGCATTCATTGCCTTTGCTGCCTTACCTCCCGCTTTTCCTCACTGGCTTCTGCGCAAAGTATGGGAGGCCTCCAAAGACCTCCATGGCACTAAACCAACACCCAATTCGTCCTCCTTCCTGATCTGTCTGCTGAGTCCTTCCTCCGTGTCTCACATGATTCAGGAGCCACGCTAGTACTATACTGGTATACAAAGCTGCTGAATCAGGTGTGGTCACGGAGCTAGCTGGCTACTACAACAGCGGTTCTCAACTCCCTTTGGGGGCCAAATGACCTTTCACAGGGGTCACTCGAATCATAACAGTAGCAAAGCTACAGTTATGAAGTAGCAAAGAAAGTAATATTATGGTTGGGGTCACCACAACATGAGGAACTATATTAAAGTGTGGCGGCATTAGGAAGGTTGAGGACCACTGGTCTAGAGGCTGTTCCTTTCTGATGACCCTCTGCTGGCTTCTATGACACATTTCTGGATTTCTTTCTCTGCCTCTGGCCACTCTGCAGACTCCAGTGCAGGCTCTTTTCCCCGTGCCAGCATATCATGCTCTGTAGTTCTATTTTGGGCATACAGCTATTTTTGCACTGCCCTGTGGAGGCTTTCCCACATTTCTAGTGATCACTTCTGTGCAAATGACCCCAAATATACCCTTAGCCCTGATATTTTCCCCCCAAGCCTCAGATTTGTATATACAGATTTCTGGTCATCAGAAATGGATTACTCATATTGAATGTGATACATACAAACCTGAACTAATCCCGCGCGCCCCCCCCCCCACGCACACACACACAACCACACACACACACACAACCTGTAAGTCTGGCTCTATCATTGGCAAAGTATCCTAAGCATTCTTACCTAATCTTTCTCATGATGTGACATTTGTCATATAATAATGAACGACACTGTTTCTTGGCTGTTGGCCTAATCACATTGACTCTCTAGGAAGGCAGGGATCTGAAGAGGAGAGTGGCCTCCCAGAATACTTCTAGCCCCTTTGGTAAGTAAAAGAGTGTCCACATTTACTTGGGTGGAATTTTTTCTCACAAGCAATTCATTGTTCATCGTAACACATTGACTGGTGTGTAGATCTGAGATTCTTACATTTAAGATGAGAAAAGTCAGAATTACAACTAGAAATGGTAAATACACAGGTCTTGTGATTTTACAGAGGTTTCCTCAATGGCTTCCCCAGAGGGAGCTGGGGCTATTTCTACCTGGAGGCAGAAGGCCACAGCAGGAGCTGTGCATTCTTAAGAAGGTAGCTGAAGCGAGGGCCCATTAAGTGCATACCCCCCAAAAAAAACAATTGCCATCAAGTTGAGTCCAACTCAGGATGTCCCAGTGCTGCCGATTAGAACTGCTAGCCACAGAGTTTCCAGGAAACCAAACTAAACTTGCTGCCAACAAGCTGATCTCAATTCATATTGATATCTGTCTCCCTTCTAGTCTATGATTTCCCCTTCCCACCCAAAGTTACCATCAAAGTCCATTTTGCAAAAATCCTTTATTTTTATTTTTTAATTTAACAATGGTCTTGTATAATACTTGTTTTTTTTTATTTGGCTAAATTTATTAGCATAATGTACTCTAGGTTCATCCATATCATGGGGTACTTCAGTTTCATCATCATTCTTTAATGTTGCACAGTATTTCACTGTGTGTATGTATAAAACTTCTTTATTCATTCGTCCACCAATGCGTATCTTAAGAGGCTTCTCACATTGGTGGCTGTTTAAGAGGTGGCTGAAAACACTTTTTTAAAACCTTTTTTGAAAAAAAAAAAAGAAAAAAAAAGAAAAAGGCGTGAATCACACTCTGAGGGGCACAGCACAGATCAGTGGTGCCTGCTTGATGACAAGCAATAATGGTAGTGAGCAGAAACAAAGGGCTTTCTCAGTTGTTCCCAACTGAGTCACATCGTAGACACAGATGGATAGTTACTAAAACCAAACAAACAAAACCACCACCCTCCTGGCAATGAGTTGATTCTGACGCATAGAGCCCCTGAAGGGCAGGCTGGAACTGTTCTGTAGGGATTCTGAAACTGATGTGTTTGAACTGCCACTCTGTGTTTAGCAGAACAACATCTAACGCACTGTACCACTACCAAAGATACTGGTAAAAGTGCTGTGTGTAGTTATTGCCATTTCTTGATGGAGCTCATTACGTTTTTTTAAATCATTTTATTGGGGGCTCTTACAACATTCCATACATCAATTGTATCAAACATATTTGTACGTATGTTGCCATCATCATTTCCAAAACATTTTCTACTTGACCCCTTGGTATAAGCTCCTCTTTTCTCCCCTTCCTCCCCCACCCTCCCAGAATTCGATACTTTTAAAGCCACATTACCAGCCATTTCTAAATAAATTCTCAGCAGCACCACGATACCAATTTATATCAATTCATCTCATAGAAGTAATTACAAAGTAGACTAAACAGCTCTATCGGACAGACTTCATTCTGGGGGCAGTCGTGCCAGAACCACTGGAATAAGAATCTTACCAAGACAGCAGTACTTTCAGGTGATACTGTGCTAGAACACTGGGGATCCTCTTGCTTTACCACAGGCCCGATTCCATTTGGAAAAAGGCATCTGCTTTTTGCTTGTCCTGGACTTACACATTCCCACTAAGGCAGTTCCCAGATTACAAACTAGCACAGTTCCTCAGTTTGCCTTTAAGTAGAATTTGTGCCTAAGTTGGAACAGTTAGGTACGGTTTGTATCTAATGACAATTAGTCAACTGTTTGTCTTAGTATATTGTATATAGTGTACTGTGCTATGCCTAAAAAAAATTAAAGAAGCATCTCCATTACAACAAAACATTAATAATAATTAGTAATGTTTTGATGCACGTATCAAAGTAGCACCTATTTTTTTATTGCAAATCTGTGTGCACTATGAGTTTTAACATAACAGGCTTCATGGAAGTTGGTTCATAACTATAGGACATCCTGTATATTGAAGCCCTTCTTTCAGTGCCATCTGGTCATTTCCGTGCGGTCAAGGACAGCATTTATTTTACAGATTGGGAACACTAAGGCCCTACAAGCATTGAAGGCACGTGGAGGGGTGGGGCACAACTAGACGTCTCTATGGCCTGAAGCCTCAGCTCTCGGCGGATGTTTAGGCCCCTATGCTATTAAGTTCATCCGGTGAAACCGAGCTAGGAAGCCCCTGCTCTGAGCATCTGTGCTAGATGCTAGGAAGATAAAGGTGAATAAGAGATGCATTTAATCACATACTAAGTAGTGCCAAAAAGCTTATGGAATAATTCCATATCTTTTAATAGTGTACATTCCACTGTAAGTTAACCTGTTACTGTCCATAAAGAAATCAAACTTAGACCCTCCAGAGCTGACAGAGAAGAAATCATTGGAAACCTCAAAGGCCTACTTTGTCCCTTCAACCTTATTTTCACCTGGAGGTGTCTCATTCTTATGGCCACTGTCACCACCACACAGGTTTCCTGAGTGGGGCTGCTCTAACCTAGGTGTTGACATACAACCTTCCCCATAGTAATAAGGTTAAAATAAGCTTGGAACATTCATATACAACTTAGCCTCAGAGATGATAAAGGGGCAACAACACAGTACCTCAAATGGAAGTTGAGTCATTAATTCTCACCCCCTGGAAGTATCTTCAACACCTCCTTAAAGTCCAGACACAAAGAAACCCAGAGACACAAGGGGCTCTTTCTCTTAAATTTCTAGTTTCTTGTCTCAGGCCAACTGACACTGGGAATAATATCCACCCCAGGGAAACCAAAGAGCAGTGGTCTTACACTTTAGGTCTAAAAAGGCTAGTTACTTTCACAGTACAACACAACAAACCTAAAGAGAACCACACAAGAGCTTTGCACAATGGGAAAAAGCATTTGGGGAGTGGGCACAGAAGGGAATATGGTGAACGCTTAAGAGTGGGAAATGATTTAAAAAAGTAAAAGAGTAGGAAGATCTCTCTTCTCCAGAAAGCTCAACTGTCCTGCTCTAGAGTGTCTATTCCCTGGTCTGAAAATGTATCTAACCTGTGCCATGTGGCTGAACCTTCAATGATACAGTGTTGTGGGCTGTACTTTAGCTATTGCTCAACACTAAGATTTTTAAGCATGTCAAGTTCAGAAACTCTCATTTTTCATATTCCTTCAGCCATAGTGCCAGGCCCACAGCTAGACACTCATGTAGATGTGGAGGAAGTAATCTGTGTTACTGAAAGATGACTTAGAATAGAAAGCAAATATTTTATTTTGGCTGGACGTTAAAACTGAGCACCAATCATCAACTTAGGTAGTTGCTAAATTAATACAACCCCATCCATTTGCCTGGAACAACTCCAGTTTTCTAAAATATTCTGGAAGAAGAAGAAAAGGCTGATGAAGGGATGAAAAATAGAATTATGACCTTCCAGGTCCCAAGTGTCAAGGTTCTGATTTAGATAAAGGGCTCCTTACAGCTGATTCCCCAAGTCTACTTGCCCATCTTAGTGCTTCTTCTGCTACAGTGCTGTTGTTGTTAAGTAATGTTGTCGAGCCCTTTTTGACATACAGTGACCCATGTGACAGAGTACAACTACCCCACAGAGGTTTCTTGGCGGTAATCTTTATGGAAGCAGATTGCCAGGAGTTTCTCCCGTGGAACTGCTGGGTGGGTCTGGACCACTAACTTTTTGGTTAGCAACTGGTCATTTAACCATTTGCACAATCAGAGCTTCTTACAGGAATAGTGCATCTGACTATAAATGGCCCTGCCAGGCACAGGGGCCCTATAATTACCTCCTCGAAGCTATGTTCTGTGCAGCAGTTTATAAACCAATGGTCAGGGTCTTCAAGGAGAGGTACTGCTGTTTAACACACCAGAATCTCTGCTGTGTAAGGCAGCCAGGAACTTGCTGCCCTAGGTTTTGTTGGCTCTGATGGTACAACCTGCTTTGTTTTCACTGGGAATTTTTTACAACAGGCTCTCTTTATATTCACCCCTGACAGAGGGGATGTGTAGGAGTATACGTGTGCATGTGTATATAAACCTGTGTGCGTGTGCCCACACAGGTTGAGAACAGAGAATGAATGACAGCTATTCTTAGGCTGGTACACACTCTTCTGTCTCTCCGTGGAAGACTTTACATTTAGTTATTGGGCATATCTGCTAGATGAGCTTATAGTTCCCTGATTAATGATTAAACAGTTCTATTTATATAAACCTTGTCACAGAGGTGTTCTAAGCCATTTGTCCATGAGGTGCCTGCCTTGTAGCATGGCCAACTTCTCCTAAAAGCAACTCTTTTCTAACTTGGTCACACAGAAATTTGGAAAGCAAGGGAATACTAACAGAGACCAAATGATGCCAAAGAAGAACTGGCAGGATAGCAGGAACTCAATCACACAAACAGAAAATGGGTCAGTACACCATGGCTCTCAAAACCTGCATTCAAGTGATTAAAAATCACTAAACTCCAGCTCTTAGCTACTTCCTGAAGACCATGAGAGAGATCACCAAGAGACAGGGCCTCACACATCTTAACTGCTGTCACTCCAACAAGGTAGGAATGTCTCGACCCCCCTCATGGCAACTGCTCCTGTAACACACATTCATGAGATGAAGTCAAACATTAAGACCTAAGAGGCATATGTTGCCTGGCTCAACATCAAAGGGCACCTGCTCTGATGTTAGATAAGCTTTCTAAGGACTAGGTATAGAGAATAGAAAGTTGTGTCTAATCAGATTAAATGTGAAATCTATAAGATATCATCATAATTTCTGAGCTCATTAATGATTAGTTTCTTAACCCAGCTTTTTTTTTGGTAAGAAAGGAGGGCAGCGTCTATCAAAGAGCTGTGAAAATAAAGCCTTCATACCTTCGATGTGAGATCCCGATGGAAAATGCCTTTGAAGTGAAGGTAGCTGAGGCCCACTGCTATGTCATAGGCCAGTTTCACCCTCACAGTCCAGGGCAAATGCAGGTTACTGTCTAGTAACTGTTCCAGGTTCCCAGAGTTGATATACTGCAAAATAGAAGGAAAACCTAACTACCATTTGTCAAAAAAGTTTAGGCCGGTGGTGAAACTGTATGTAGAATGTGTGTGTATATAAAATATGTATATATTTAAGTTAATAAGAGTTTATTCTCAATCTAGGCACTATGGAGCCACATACAAAGACACAATCTTTGAAGAGATATCAATCTACTAAGGGATAGAGACACAATAACATAAGGCAAATGCTAAAATATAAGTAAGGTGGTACCTGCAGTACAGAGGATGAAGCTATTAACTCAGCCTGGCCAGCCAAGAGAAAATAATGTGTCTAAGGATGGCTGGGGGAGCAGAAAAGGAGAGCACACATGGGCAAAGGAGCTACGCAAAGTTAAAGGTTAAGTGAACAATGCATTCAGAAAACAAACCGAGTATGACCAGAGTGCATTATATAAGAAAGGCAGGAAGTGAAGCTGATAGGCTTTGCTAAGATATGTGTGCTTTATCCTGTTTGTAGGGAACAAAAGAAGCATTTTAAAGTGGGGGTAGGAGTAATATGGTTACACTTGCTTTTAAAAGATGGACTAGAAGGAGAATGTAGAAAAGGGGTAACAGGAAATTATTTCAACAATACTGGTAAGAGAAGTGACCCTGAGTCAAGGCACAAGTGGAGGCATTAGAACTGAGGAAGATTAAAGATGTACTTAGATGGCAGAGTCAAAAGGTGATTGCCCAGTGTGGGCTTGGGAACAATGAGAAGTTCTAGGATAATACATGGCTGGTTCCTGAATGCCATTATTAAATGGGCAAAATATAAGGAAATGAGCGGGTTCTATGAAACAGTAGCAATGCTAAAAGACAGCGAGTTTAGCGTAATATGTTGAGTTTAAGGTACTTGTGGGATAGCACAGGTGGAGAGGTCCTACTTTAAAGCTTAAGAACAAACCCTAAGCTGGAGATTAACATCTAGGTGGCAACAACACTCAACTGAAATAGTTATTGATGTCAAAGGATGTATAAGAATGTCCAGAGGTTCACATGTAAGATGAGGCATTAACAAAATCCCAACTCCCAAACTGTAAAACTCACAGCCAAGCTTCTGATTCATAGCAACCCTATAGACAGGGTAGAACTATCCCTGTGAGTTTCAAAGACTATAACTCATTACAGAAGTAGAAAGTTTCATCTTTTTACCCCAAGTGTAACCCACTATACCACCAGGGCTCTTCCAGAATCCCAAGGAACAATAATATTGAAAGGGCTGGTCAGAGAAAGACCAACCAAGCAAAAATGTCATCATGGAAGTCAAAGAAGGAGGAGCATTTCAAAAGGGAAATAACAATACCAAATGCTACAGGTCAGGTAAGATGCAGGTGAAAAGTGTCCACTGGATTTGCAAGTAGAACGTCATTGGTGATCTTGGCAAGAACAGTTTCAGTAAAGTGGTGAAATTAGTAACACTAACGTGAACTGAGGAGTGAGGAAGTGATAAGGCTATGGAAAAACCATGTGAAGATGAACTCTTCCCAAAAATGTGACTGAACTCCATCCCTACATATGCATGAAGAACTGCTGTTTTGTTTATTACAGCATATATATATATATATATATATATATACACAATAGCAGCAGACATAATAGTAGCTAATGTCTTATAGAGTGCTTACTTAGTGCCAGTTTCTAGGAACTTGACATTTTATTTCATTTAATCTGTACAATAATTTTAAGTATACTATTATTCTTATCTTACAGATGAGGAAACCAAAGCATTTAGAGATTAACTTACTCAAGGTTATCCAATTATTAAGTAGCAAGGCTAGAGTTCAAATCCAAGGAGTCTAACTTCAGATCCATATTCTTTACTACTACTGGGGATTGCAGCATCTAAGTCAAAAAGCCTCATGTAGAGTACAAGCTCAGATCTTTCTACCAATTTGGTTAATTAGCTTACCCAATCCTAGATGATGGATTATTTCCATCCACTTCCAAGAAACAAAAGAGGCAAATTTCTCTTAAAAAATAATACACACACAATACTTATTTGGGGAAAATGTTAAATTTACAAAGGACCAGGTAGCCTTTGGGATAGGAAGCTCGCCTCTCTCTGCCATTAAGTCAATTCCAACTCATAACAACCCTGTAGGACAGAGCAAAACTGCCTCTGTGGGTTTCCAAGCCTGTAACTCTATGAGAGTTGAAAGCCTCATATTTCTCCTGCAGAGCAGCTAGAGGTTTCCAACTACTTACCTTGTGGTTAACAGCCCAACATGTAAGTCACTCTGCCACCAGGGCTCATATGGGATAGGAAGCAAAAGATCGGAATTCTAGTCTACTACTTCCTCTTAATAGTCTTGTAGTTTGGACCAGTGAATTAACAAGGCTAATTATAAAGTTTATACACACAGAGTTTGTGCTTTTCCCACTTCTGCTTTATATATATTCATGTTTATACATGTGTAATTATAAAGTAGATGAAACATTCTTTGATCCATCTAACACAATATTACAAGCATCTAATAAAAACGTAAGAAACTAATTAGAAAAAATATAAATGGCATTGAGCCAAGATTTTCTAATGGGTAATATAAACACCAAAGCACCTGCTGGGGGCAGCACCATGCAGCACTTCAGATCGTTAGCCTAGCCAAATCAGATTGGGCAAGGCAAACAGAATGGCTAAAAAGAGAACTTCTTAAAAGGGAAATCTGTCGATCGGCTTCTTCATGCTTGATAATCCATCACTGAAAACATTAACATGGGACATAATTACAGCATTAGCACAATGTCTCTTCACTCTAGTTGAATCTGCCAAAGGTTCAAGTCTGAGATACCCATTTTCTGAAAAGAAACGGCTGCAACTTCTAAGCCACTGGGGGACAACGAAGTTGACATCTAATGATGTATGCAAATTTCTTGAGCCGAGAGTCCAAAGGTATTGGCATGGTAACAAGTGTGACTTGGAAGGCCTGTCTTGGGAGCCACTTGCATTTCCGGAGTGAGTGACAGATAGGCAGAGAGTGCGATGAAACGGCTGTATGAATGCTTTCCGTGGGTCAAGCTAGGCCAGGACTCTTGGTTCTCGTTTAGAGAAGCCCATGATTACTCTGTACAGCAATGTTTCTCTGAAGGCCTTGAAAAATTCATAGACCAAACCAGAGGGGAGGAGGCAGAGGAAAAAGGTAAGTCAAAATAAGAAATCTCACTGGCTAGTAACTGATACTGGCTTTTCCAAGAGAAGTAGAAGAAGCATAAAAGAGGACCAGAGAAGGAAATAAAATGGAGTTTGGCTTTTTAAGTTTATTTGCAAATAATTCACATATCATACAATTCAATAGTTCAATTGTATTAAAAAGAGTTGTACAATCATCGCCACCATCAATTTTGGAAAAAATGGAGTTTATTTTGGCAACTCATTTTTCTTGCCTGCCTTTGGCAAATTCATTAGTGGGGGTGATAAGTCTTAGGGCCTTCAGAAACCACAACTTCTCAATGTCTCAAAACTCTGCATATACGGAGAAAGGAAGTTTGAGATCTGCCAACAGGGAAGGTTTCTAACTTGCCACACATACTATGTGCCCAGTAGCTGGAACATCCACTTCCCCATAATAACTCCGGGTGCAGACTCAGCTGGTGTGCCATCTAGACAAATCCCCTGTGGGAAAACAGAGACAAGGGCAACTACACTAGCATATCCAGCTGTTCTGGATGTCTCCAGATAGCAGCTGCTTTACTTTCTGTTTCCTTCCTTGGGCAGCTATACTAAATAACCTAAGGCATTGGCAATGCATATAAACAGCTTACGAGAGGGAGGTTAGCATTTATTGTGTTGTAGTTTTAGACCTTTGAGCTCAGAAAACTAGAAATACATTCCAATCATATGGGTCTTATGTACTTCACTACTTTTCACTGACTATCCTCCAACTTTACAGACAGCAAGACCTACCTCTCTTCCTCATAATCTAACAAAAAGAAATAAAGTATTTATAACAGTGATTCTTCCATCTCTTTTGTGCTTGATCTTGATTTCATTAAACAAATAGACCCTTTTCTGAGAAAGCACTCAGTATAAAAATGTGTTAGTAACTAAACATTATGTAAATAAACCACCTTTAAAATACTAAAATGCAAGAAATCATATGCTAACATCCAAAAAATTATTGTTTTAATCGCTGAAGGAGAGTTAAATGGGCAATAGTGTTTTTTCCACTCAGGAATATCAATTCAGGTTATTCCCACAAACGTGATGGAGCACCCTCCTTCCCCTTCTCCATACCCCCACACTAGAGTGGGCCTTGTTCATTTGCTTCAACACTATATGTCCCAGAGTTAGAGAACTGCCTAGAACACGGGAAATGTGGGGTTGTAAAGATGGATTAGCCCTAGTTCACACTTCAAAGAAACCCATTGAGAGACACATGGGTAGTAAATTGTACCAAAAATTCTATGCCAAAACCCAAACCCTCTTCCATGAGTAGATTCTGACTCACAGAAACACTAAAAGGCAGAGTAGAACTGCTCCATGGATTGCCACGAGCTATAGATCTTTACAGAAGCAGACTGTGGAGCAAATGGGGATGTGAAGTGACAACTCTGTGATCATCAGTCCAACATTTAGCCTTCTGAGCCATCACAGTTCCCCTGGACATATTAAAAACAACAACAAAAACCCACTACCACCAAGTCAATTCTGATTCATAGTGACCCTACAGGATAGACTAGAACTGTTCCTTAGCATTTCCAGACAGTCAATCTTCACAGGTGCAGTCTGCCTCATCTTTCTTCCCTTAAATGAAGGGTGGGTTTGAAGTGCTGCCTTTGCGGTTAGCAGTCTAATGCTTGACCCACAGTGCCACCAGGGATCCTTCCAGAGTATCTAAAATCCCGAACCAAACCTACTGTCATAAAGTTGATTACAACTCATTGGACAGAGTGGCCCTATAGGAACGAGTAGAACCACTCCTTAGGGTTTCCATGACTATAAATCTTTTTTTTTAATCGCTTTATTAGGGGCTCATACAACTCTTATCACAATCCATACATACATCAGTTGTATAAAGCACATTTGTACATTCATTTCCCTCATCATTCTCAAAACATTTGCTCTCCACCCAAGCCCCTGGCATCAGCTCCTCATTTTTCCCCTCCCTTCCCCCTTCCCCCTCCCTCATGAACCCTTGATAATTTACATATTATTATTTTGTCATATCTTGCACTGTCTGATGTCTCCCTTTACCCACTTTTCTGATGTCCATCCCCCAGGGAGGAGGTTATATGTAGATCCTTGTAATCGGTTCCCCTTTTCAAACCCACCCTCTCTCTACCCTCCCAGTATCACCACTCACACCACTGGTCCTGAAGGGATCATCCACCCTGGATTCCCTGTGTTTCCAATTCCTATCTGTATCAGCATACATCCTCTTGTTTAGCCAGATTTGTAAGGTAGAATTGGGATCATGATAGTTGGGGGGGAGGAAGCATTTAGGAACTAGAGGAAAGATGTATGTTTCATCATTGCTACATTGGACCCTGACTGGCTCATCTCCTCCCCATGACCCTTCTGTAAGGGGATGTCCAGTGGCCTATAAATGGGCTTTGGGTCTCCACTCCGCACTCCCCGCCTCATTCACAATGATATGATTTTTTTGTTCTGATGATGCCTGATACCTGATCCCTTCGACACCTCGTGATCACACAGGCTGGTGGTGTGCTTCTTCCATGTGGGCTTTGTTGCTTCTGAGCTAGATGGCCGCTTGTTTACCTTCAAGCCTTTAAGACCCCAGACACTCTATCTTTTGATAGATGGGCACCATCAGCTTTCTTCACCACATTTGCTTATGCACCCATTTGTCTTCAGCGATCGTACCAGGGAGGTTAGCACACAATGATATGATTTTTTGTTCTTTGATGCCTGATACCTGATCCCTTTGGCACCTCGTGATCACATAGGCTGGTGTGCTTCTTCCAGTGGGCTTTGTTACTTCTGCGCTAGATGGCCGCTTGTTTACCTTCAAGCTTTTAAGACCCCAGACGCTATATCTTTTGATAGCACCATCAGGTTTCTTCACCACATTTGCTTATACCCATTTGTCTTCAGTGATTGTGTCCGGATGGTGAGCACCACAGAATGCCAATTTAATAGAACAAAGTATTCTTGCATGGAGGGAGTACTTGAATGGACTATAAATCTTTTCAGGAGCAGAGAGCCTCATTTTTCTCCCAAGGAGTTGTGGGTGGGTTTGAATCACTGACCTTATGGTTACAGCGCAACACCTTATCTACAGCACTACCAGGGCTCCTTTCCAGGGTATACCCAAAACCCAAAGGAAACTCATTGCCATCAAGTGGATTCCAACTCATGGCAACTGTATAGGGCAGAGTAGAACTGCCTCTTTGGGATTCTAGTGCTGTAACTTTTATGGGAACAGCAAATGGAATAGCAGGTGGTTTCAAACTGCTAATTTTGCAATTAACAGCCTAGCAGGTAACCTACTACACTGCAGGGCTTCTTCTGGGGTATGTAAAACTCACTACCATCAAATACCTTCTGACTCATAGCACCCCTATATCACAGGGTAGAACTGCCCCTGTGAATTGTCAAGAGTGTAACTTTGGATGGAAGTAGAAAGCGTCATCTCTCTCCTGCAGGGTGGCTCCTGGTTTCAAACTGTTGACCTTGCTGTTTAGCAGCCCAACGCATATATACTAAGTCACCAGGGCACCTTCCAGGGTAAACAGTAGAGGTAAATTCTGGGAGTCTCAAGGTAGAAACCAATTTTTCCTAGGGAGCTTAGCAGGTTTCAAGAAGAAATATGTAGGCTGAATCCTAAAGGAAAGGTTGGAGTATCAACTAAGGTTGTATACTAAAGGGAAAAAAATGTGGGTTCTTCCCATATGGCCCTATAG